TAATATATTATAAGTAAACAGAAAATTACTGTAAAATGCAAAATAAATAAAAACACAACAGTTGATTGAAGTTAATTAAGCCATCGTTGATCGATATCGATAATGGTAGATTTTCTCTTGAATCAGTCAGAAGAATGCCTAATTAATCTTCCAATAAGTTGCATAAAATCCATTTTGGTTAAACTTTTATTTGACTTTGAGGCAGCATCTAATAAAAACAAAAAGACATAGTTCAATAAGATCATAAAATAAAATACATGTCATGTTCCATAGCCAAAAAAATTGAGAAAATTTTTTTATTTTATTAAAAGATTGTTTTTAATTTTAAAAGTAAATTAAACACAATAATAAGCTAATAAGAATACCAGTGATAGCGATATATAGACTTGTCAACTTTTTCAACTTTTTTTTCTTCTTTAGACCATTCATGCTGCATTCTGAAAATAGTGTCTGTTGTCAGTCTACATATAAAAAAGATGATAAATGTCATGCTGTCAAACATAAATGTTAAAATTCAAACTTATGCTAATTACTTACAGGAGCAAAATATTTTTAATTGTATCAACTAAATTTTTACCTCCAATTAATGATAACTGTTTTACCTAAAAAGACACAATGGGAAAGAAACATTGAAAATAATCATGACAATTCAAAAGAAATATTGTAATAATATAATATATAAACTATAAAAATGAAATTCATGCATACAAAAGTGATGTATTGGATATCTCCATTTGCAATTTTTCTTTTCAAAACATTAAGTTCATCTGAACTTTTAAGTTGTGTATAACCTTCTGGATCATTAGAAAACTGTGCAGTTTTATTTACTAAAATGTTTTTAATTTCAGCAAGGATAAAAACATAACTTTTCTCTGAAACTCTGAAAAGTAAAATAAAGTGAAGCCATATAAATAGTATATAAAGTAGTAAATAGTACTTTCTATAAATGGTTGGAAAAGGTAAATTTAAACTGAATAATGCAAAAAATCTCAAGTTTCATGTTTAACTTAAAAAAAGATATAAACAAGTAAAGTTCAAGAAAATTATAACGTTTTTGTCTAACGCCAATAACTGTAAAGAATTGCTATCTATACACAAATATATATATATATTATATATATATATATATATATATATATATATATATATATATATATATATATATATATATATATATATATATATATGTATATATATATATATATATATATATATATATATATATATATATATATATATATATATATAAATTAGCAAAAACATTTATCTAATTCTCTTTGTCACTTTGTTTCTCCATCAATAGGTTCATCAGGAAGCTTCCTGATGAACCTACTGATAGAGAATCAAACTGTCGAAGAGAATTAGATAAGTTTTATTACAAATTTATTATTGCTCTCAGGCATGTGGAGTTAGGAAAAAAAAGTACCAACTTTTATTGGCTGAAATTTTTAGAGAACGACTCCGACGCCAAAGCAAAATTTTTTTGGATTTTGAATAAAAATTGAATAAACATTTCTTTGAATTCTTTAAAAAATACTACACGATAATTAAATTTTTTTTTTTTTTGTCAAATATATGAAAAGCTCTTTAAAGGTTAAATATTTTGTACATGAACATGCAATACCGAGAAGTTTTACTATTGGAGCCGGAGTCGCGGTTTTTTTAGTGACTCCGACTCCACTAACAATGTCGCAACTCCAACTCCATGACTCCACAGCCCTGATTGCTCTGTTCTTTAAGAACATTGCAGACATCACTCTATTTGTAGAATACACTAACATAATTTATATATATATGTGTACATATATATAAAAATATGTATATACATAAATATATAAAAAACCATTATAAAAAATACAAGTTTAGCCTTGTAACAGCATCTGACATCAAATATGCAATACTTGACTGAATCAAAGTGATATAGTATAACTAAATTTTTTTTTCCCTTTTAGAGCTGTACTTCCAACAGTATATAACACTGATCAATACGCACACACACACACACACACACACACACACACACACACACACACACACACACACACACACACACTCACTCACTCACTCACTCACACACAAATATATAAAATAAATATGTATGCATCATGTAAACATTATCATATATATATATATAAATATATATATATATTTATTTATATATATATATATATATATATATATATATATATATATATATATATATATATATATATATATATATATATATATATATATATATATATATATATATATATATATATATATATATATATATATATATATATATATATATATATATATATATATATATATATATATATATATATATATATATAAAAAATATTTCCCATAAACTGTAGTTTTAAAGAGCGCGTTAATAAACCAGACCAGAAAAAGTTTTAAAAATTAAATTTTTTTTTTTAATTGATAGACTGCCTGGCCAAACCAAACCCTCAGTCGATGTAGCAGCACTCTCTTGCGAGTCAGGCTATTTGTCAGTCGTTGTAGCAGCACTCCCTTGCGAGTCAGGCTATTTGTCAGTCGATGTAGCAGCATTCCCTTGCGAGTCAGGCTATTTGTCAGTCGATGTAGCAGCACTCCGTTGCGAGTCAGGCTATCTTTAGTTAAAATTCCCTCACTATACTGGTAATATATTTAAACTTAATAACTAAACTCAATTTTTCATTTATTTAAAAATTGTATAGATTATAGTTTATAGATCATAGAGTATAGAATATAGAGAATTAAAAAATATCTTTAAACGATAAATAACTAAACAAAATTAATAATATCAAATTAATGCAGACATTTTTAATTAACCGAGTTAGCGCATAATATTTTATGCGCTAAGTTATATATAAATTTTTCTTCTTTTAATTAAATTTTTTATTGAAAACGTCCATTAAACGTCTTTGAGACAACTTATTTCCAAGGTTTAGGACGTCTAAAGAAGGTCTTAGGGACGTCAATAGGACGTCCTAATATGGAAGTCTTGATAAAGTCTTTATGGTAACGTCATTAGGACGTCCTAACAAAGACGTCTTAACCGGGCATCTTTCGGACGTCCTAATTTGGTCTGAGACGTCGCGACCTAGTTAAGACGTCCGTAAGACGTCTGATTGACGTCTGTGCCCGCTGGGTTACTTTAAAGATAATAATTAGGCAGATATATAACAGAGTTTGATGTGGTTTTTTAAAAAAGTTTTCAGAAAAGATATAGAAAAACTTTTTCAATTTAAAAAGTGTTTTTAGTAAGTGTTTTTAAAGGGACTACCAAGTCCCGAGACATGTTGTGTTCATATTAAAGAGAATGTTAAAAAAAAAACGTCTGAGCAAATTTTTTTTGATTAAAACTAATTAATAAATGTATACCAAGAAAAACAAATCTTGTTGTTTTAGTCGAAGCTCGTTTTCTCCGTTTTCTCTGGTATTTTGAGTATGTAAAATAAACGCGATTTTCCAGGCGCATTATACAGACTTGATAATTTATTCAAGCGCGTTTAATTCATAGAAGTTTTAGTGCATGACTTCATAGATTTTTTTTTTGGTTGTTTAAAACACCGATTGTTTTTTTTACATACAATTTCCAAATCATATTCATTTTTATTGTATTTTAAAGTTCTAAAATGTGTTTGTAAAACAAAATAAAATTAAAAACAAAATAAAATTAAAAACAAAAATAAAATAAAAAACAAAATCGTATTTTATTTGCGCAACTTTTTTTAAATAATCGTCTAGACTACGTGTATTTTGATTTCTTTTCTTATAAGTTTTTCTTTTAAAATATTAGATTAAATAATTTTTAACGTAAATAATAATGCACTTTTATTAATTTACTTTGTAAATATTAAAAAAAATATTATTAACGCATTTTTTCTCTGATTTTCTAAAATGTATTTTTTGGTATTGAGGTGATCTTATTTCATTATTTATGTTTCCATTATAACATCCAATATATATTATGGCGGGAACTTAAAAATTTAAAAAATAATATATATTAATTTTTATTTTACAGACATGCATGGAAACATAATTAACTTAAAACATCTTGCGGAAGAATAAAAAGAATATTCGCGAACACTAAAAACCCGCCAAATTTGCGTACAAACTAATTCTATTGGTTCAAAAAATACGCTGACTAAGCGAAATAAAGTTCTGGTGAAATGTTTTACGAATTGTATTATTTACGATTTGTTGCGTTTTGAGATATTTAGCATAAATTTCTTTAAGAATATATTGTCAAATGAACTATTACTTTAATATTATGGCTCATTCTCGGAGCCACATCTGTAAAGCCGTAAAACTTTTAAACTATTATCATTTGTTTACAAAAATAAATGTTTTATAATATATATTTTTTAAATTGTCAAAATTTTGAAAGTTAATTACAAATTATATATTTTATTAGTATATTCTTAGTTTTTATATCTTTTCTTAGTGCTTGGTTTAATTAATTGTTCGTTAGATTTGTAAAAAAACTAACGAACAATTAATAAAATAAATATTTTTGTAACTATTTGTAAAATTTACATTTAACGTAAATTAAACACAGCTGTTTTTTATTCAATGTAATAATAAATATAACTTGGTAAAAATTCAAGACGGATGGTCCACATAGTGAATGCGGTCACAGTGCACGTTTAAAAAATGCATTACATTGAGTATTTTTGAATTTATGTCGAATTTGCATTCAAATTAAAAAACAACATCGTGAATAACAAATAAAAGATTGACTTGTATTTATTCTATTTGTCGAATCATCAACTCAATAATAACATTTTCTTGCAATCTTCAAAAATATTCATTCCAATTTTTAAAATCAAAAATATCCTACAAGTTTTACAAAACAAATTTAATTAAATATATTCAGACACGCTAAAAAAAAAGTTAAACTTCAGTTAAAGTGATAACATGACCGTCAACACGGCCTTCAAAGTGGGAAAAGTTTCAAAGAGGCTCACTCCCCGATTTAAAAAAAAAATCTTACATTTCAAGAAAAATATAGTTATCCTAAAAAAAAGATTGTATTATCTATGGCCGTCAACACCGGTGGTAACGGCCATAGATAATACCATAAGAAAAGCTTCGAAATAAAAGTTTCTAATAAAAATTTACAAAACAATACAAAACAACTTTTTATCAGTATCTTTATAAGTATTATATATCATATAAAAACATTAAACATTGATAAAATCTAAATTATAGCTAACAGTGCAATGGAAAGTAGGTCGGAGATTCCCTCCCTATAAAACATGTCATAAGGGTCTCATTATTTAAAAAAAACTTTGAATGTTAGGCATAACGAAAAAAAAAATTAAATTAGGTAAAATTATTCTTAAAACTAATCTTAAATTTTAAAAAAAGAACACCTAAAGTTATTGCCCCCCTCCCCCGTTTGGGGCGTAACCGATGAGACACAGCGTGTTATTTTATTGGATTATAAAAAAAATATTTTTTAATGTAAAGATTTTAAAAAATAAAATAAGTAACTATAGTTAGCTATTTTAGTAAAATTTAATAGTAAAATTTTTAAAGAATTTCTAGAATGTTTCCAATGACGTCATACACTAAAACTCCTATGAATTAAACGCGCTTGAATAAATTATCAAGTCTGTATAATGCGCCTGGAAAATCGCGTTTATTTTACATACTCAAAATACCAGAGAAAACGGAGAAGACGAGCTTCGACTAAAACAACAAGATTTGTTTTTCTTGGTATACATTTATTAATTAGTTTTAATCAAAAAAAATTTGCTCAGACCTTTTTTTTTAACATTCCCTTTAATATGAACACAACATGTCTCAGGACTTGGTAGTCCCTTTAAACGTTATTTTCTATTTTTAATAGTACTGTAACATTTTTGGAATCAAAAGTGGTAATCTTGGCTCAGACTCCTTCAGCGAAAAAGTTTAAAAATAAATTTTTTATTTTAAATATATAAAATATTTGACAGAAGATATTTACTTATAATGAAGCCTGTGAAATGCAAAATATGTAGCAAAATTATTGTTACACATATGTAAATGTAGATTTACAGATGCATAATAGTCTTTGAGTGTTTAAATAAACACAAGGCAAAAAATAAATGCAATTAAGTTATAACTCAACTTATTCTGCACGCATTAACTGTATACCCGGAGGCTGAATAAGCGCAAATTGGCATAAGTGTGAACCAGTTACAAAAACTCAAACTGGCATAAGGGCAAATTGGCATAAAAGCACCAAAAGAATTTGCAAACATTAGCATAGGTGCGAATCAGCATAAGCAAACTTATTATTATCTTGCAAACAAGCTTTCAGTTTATTTCTTAGCTGGTAAATATTGTAAACTTATTTAAAACTTTGAAACTGAATTTCAGCTTGTGTTGACATTAAATTTTTTCTTTCTTTCTTTGTTTTAAAAAGCAAGAACAGATGAATCAAGATATCTAAAGCACAATGATGAATCAAGATATCTAAAGAGTAACTTGAATTAAGCTTCAAAAAAATGGTTACACAGATAGCCACAAGTTTTATTAAAAACATATATATGATATCAAAATATTTAACAAGTTTAGGATAAAAAGAGTCTCAAAATAAATGCAATTAATTCTTAAAGATTATGTTATGTATATTTTTATTTAATTTCTATCAAATCAAAATTTATTTATTAATCATCAAAATAAATAAAAAAAACTTCTCTCACACAAAAAAATATTTACATCAATAATTCACATTCTAATAGAAACAAACTGATATAACTATTTTCATATTATTATTTTTTTAAGTTTCATTTCATTTTGCTTTGGAGGATGCAATTTTAGATGAAAAATTGAAAACAATGTTTAGCACAAATTGCCAATATCTATATTCTTAAATTAAAAAAACACTGCTATGAAAGGAACAACCCAAATATTTTAGATAAATTGCATGGCTAAACTAATGAGCTAGAATATTGACAACCGGTTGTTGTTGTTTTTTTAAAGAAATCCGCAAATGGGAGAAAATACAAAGCATATTGATGGTGTTCCATCACATTACGTTATAATTTGCGGCCGCCATACTGCATGGCAAATAAAGTAAACAAAGTGAGCGTTTATTAGTATAATGTATTTAATTACAATTATTTAGATAACATATCTTGTAGTAGATAGATTTTTAAAGGTTATTTTTGAGTAAATTTATGTAGAATCTAATTCTCTATCTTATGGTATAATTAATTTATTTTTGCCTAAAATAAAACTCTATTAAACTTGTTTTCAACTCTATTAACTTGTTTTCAAAAGTGTATTATAAGTAATGTGCAAATAAGTAAACTGTACATAAAGTATTCCAAAGCATTCAAAAATAGACTATATTATTTGTGTTTTACATTTTAAAAATCTTCTGTTAAGTATTATAACACGTAAAATTCTTTATATATATATATATATATATATATATATATATATATATATATATATATATATATATATATATATATATATATATATATATATATATATATATATATATATATATATTTTGTCAATTGCTAACTAGCATAACTCAGAATTACTCACATTTTGGTTGTTTAAACATGTTAATAAGTTATTAAATTGTATTAATATTTTAAAATGCTATGTATATAAATAATACGCTAAATTACTTATTAAATTGCTTTAGTATCTTAAAAGTATTTAATAATAATTAATAACAACAATAATTGGCAATAAGCGAAACCACAAACTTAGAAGAATGTGTCATTTTAAAGGCAATCAACACTCATGCAAAAAACGTAAACAAGTTGCAGAGGATCCAAATGATTATAATCTTATTATAAACTTCAAATTGTTGAAAATATGTGTATTTTTTTGCTGTCATGTCAAGAATGTTTTTCATAAAACATAGACTTTTTATTGACAAATTAACAAATAAACGAAATAAAAGTATACATAGTAGACAAAATTGGTTGGAAGATCTGCATTAGCTTTAAGAGAAGTAGGTAAAGGACACGAATTGAACTGAAACATTTTTATGAATATGCTGTAACATTTCAAGGACATCTATAAATAGTAATAGTAAATATGTAGTAGATCTGTAAGTATTAAAAAACTTTCAATGAATATATGTATCCTTTCAAGCAATAATTTTTAGAAGACCTATTTTATTTCATTGATAAGCGTGCAATGAGTTTCTCAGAAAAGGTGACTCTTTGTTATTTAAAGATATTGTTAGTTGTGGGCCTTATGTACACTTCTATAAATTACCACTGAAAGTAGTGTTAGATATGTGCAGTTTTAAATGATTTCACTGAATTCAATGATGAATGTAAACAACTGGAACTTAATAATGGATCTCAATAATGACTTAAGAACAAAACCTTTTATTGATACTATAAACATTCTGATTGTTTTCATTAATTTGGATTTTTAAGAAATCAATTTTCAAATATACCTTATAAATATGCTTAAATTGACAAAAAAATGCTGGACTAGCACATTTAAAATAATATACATTACAACTTTTTTTAGAATTGTGTACTTTATAAAATACAACTTCTCTAATTCGAATTTTTGATAGGTGAAATAAAAGTTTAAATTAAGAGATTTTTTAATTATAGAAGTTTGGTCTATTTATTTTCATTAAACATTCAAAAAAAATTGTTTTAAAACGTCTTTAAAAATATTGTTTTTTTTTTTCATAGAAACTATAAATTTTTTTATCCCTGTTAGCAAAACTATGCCAAATACTTGTTTTGTCAATGGTTGCTCAAGTAGAGCAGGCCGTGGCAAGATGTCTTTCCATAGCTTCCCCACTATTATTAGGCATCAAGATAATAAAACCCTAGAATTGTCAGCTAAGAGGCGCTGTGAATGGATTACAGCAGTTAATAGACAAAAACAGGGTTCATGGCACTCAGGGAAAACCTGGAAAACCAGGGAAAAGTTTTAAAAATTTAGAAAATCAGGGAATACCTGGAAAAGTCAGGGAATATTTGTTAAAAATCTGTAAAATCAGGGAAAACTCAGGGAATATTTTTCAGTTTTTTATTTAGCTTGAAGTTATTTTGCAAAATACACATTTTGAGTGTTTATTGTTGTTGAAAGTTGCTCACTAAAGTGGTTTTTTAACTTTTATATTATATAGTAACTATATGTTTAGCTAAATGTATAAATAAATATAATAATATAAGACATGACTTCAGAAAAGACTTATTTTCAAGAGGATTGGTTACAACAAGATATTTATAAAGATTGGTTAGTTCCCAACGCACATGCAAAAACTAAAGCTCATTACAAAAAATGTAAAAAATCATTTGAATTGTCCAATATGGGTATTCAGGCTGTTAAAAGTCATGCAGCAGGTATTTTATTAACTTTTTTAATGTGAGAGTGAGAATTAAAAAGAAATGTTGCTTGATTGATTCATTATTTTATATTTTAATATCAGTTTCAAACACATTGTAATCAACTTTTGATTGCAACCTGTTTCAGTTGTTTTCCTTGTTGGTTGGTTGCTTATATTGTTATTTCAAACTTTGCAAGCTAAACTGATTGAGAAAAAAGATAAAAATTTTTAGACATTTTAAATGTTTCATTATTTAATTATCTTGTTTTAGGTAAGAAGCATCAGTCTGCTACAAAGCCTGCTAGTTGTTTCTTTATTAACGGAAAAGAGTTGCATGCTGAACCACTTGGAAGTGATGAAAAAATATCCACATTTTTCACCAAAAAACAAGCAACTATTGTCTCTTTAATTAAATCATCGTTACCAACTAATGCTGAGATCATATGGGCCCTGAAATCTACAATGAGCTGCTACTCTAATAACTCATGTGCAAACTTTTAAAAAGATGTTTCCTGATAGCAAGGTAGCAGAAGATTTCACTATGAGCACCTCAAAAGTATCATACATTGTTAACTATGGACTAGCCCCATACTTCAAGACACTTTTAAAAGAAGAAATCACAAAGTCTGATTGTTACATTGTATCTTTTGATGAGAGTTTAAACGACATAACCCAAACTTGTCAGATGGATCTACTAGTTCGATATTGGGATGGCAATAATAAAGTTAAAGTGAGATATTGGACATCAGCATTTCTTGTTCATTCTGCAGCTTCTGACCTTCTTACACATTTCAACGAAAACTTATCAAGATTTGATTCAAGTAAAATGTATCAAGTTTCCATGGATGGGCCCTCTACAAATCTGAAATTTCTAGATGATCTTAATAAACACAGAAAGGACAACGAGATGCCACAACTTATAAATATTGGAAGTTGCTCTTTGCATGTAATCCATGGTGCTTTCAAAACAGCTATCGAATCAACAACATGGAATATTAAAGAAACTTTAAAAGGGTGTTGGCAAATTCTTCATGATAGCCTAGCTAGATGTCAAGATTATGAAACAGTCACAGGTGCAACAAAATACCCTCTCTTTTTTTGTGGAACAAGATGAGTTGAAAGTAAATCTGTTACAGATTATTGCATTGAAATCTGGCCTAATATATGTAAGTTGATTGAGTTTGGGGAAAAGTTACCATCTTCGAAACAACCTAAATCAAAAAGCTTTTTAAATGTAAAAAAGGCTGTTAAAAACAAACTTATTATTTTAAAATTTGAAGTTTTCAGCTTTGTTGCAAGCATATTAGAGCCATATTTGTTGGCATACCAAACTGACAAACCAATGATTCCATTCATGTATCGTGACTTAGAAAGACTGTTACGAACCATACTGAGCTTGTTTGTGAAACAAGATGTTATTGATAATAGTTGTATTTCAGTCCAACTAAAAGAAGTTGATTTTCATAAAAAAGCTAATCTACTTAAAGGAAATCAAATCAAACTAGGGTTCGCAGCTGAAACAAGCCTGGCTGTTTTACAAAAGAAAGATATAATAACCATTGCTGATATTCAAAGTTTTCACAAAGATTGCACTAACATGTATGTTTGATTGATTGAAAAGTTCATGGACGGAACTCCACTAGGATCTATCATTGTACGCAACTCTCAGGTTCTTAACCCAAATGCAATGGTAGTAATGACTCAAGAAGATGCCGAGAAGAAGTATAAATCTTTATTGACCCACTTGATTAGCTTGAAATATGTTTCACCAATCTTTTCTGATAAAGCTATAAATCAATTTGCAGATTTCTTTTGAGAATCAAGGGTTTATCAAGACATCTTTCATGAACTCAATCAAGAAAGAGATAGCTTAGACGACTTCTATTTTAGAAAATTTAACCTAAATAAATATAAAAGTTTGCATTGACTGTTATAATATTATTAACACTAAGTCATGGACAAGCCTCAGTTGAGAGAGGTTTTAGTATAAATGCCACAGTACTAGAACAGAATTTAATTGAAAAATCAATAGCTGCAAGACGTTTAGTCAAAGATCATATGCTATCAAATAATCTTCAGCCACATAGTATTGAAATTACAAGCAAAATGATCATCAGCATAAATTCGGCACACGAAAGATATAGAAGCTACCTAAATTCAATTGCAGACACTAACAAAAAAGAAGCAAGTAAATTGGCAAAAAAAGTTGTTAGCGATGAAATAAAAGATGTTGAAACGAGGCGAGATCAACTGAAGAAAACCAGTGAAATGTTGCAGTTTGATTTGTAAAATTTGTTGAGGAAGCAGAGGAGAAGCAAGATCTAGGGTTAATTTCTAAAGCTAATGCGATGAAACAAAAAGCAAATGAAAAAAATGAAGAAGTAAAGAAATTAGAGCTAGCACTTAAGCTAGAATAAAGAAATTAGAGCTAGCACATCTTAGAGCAAAAGAGAAAGTTGCTAAAATAATATATTCGTTCTCACATGAAGTTTATATTTTGTTAACAAAACACATTAGTTTTTTCAAAACATGTATAAATTGTTATTTTTTTAATATATTTCTTTTAGTTAGCAGATTAATATGGCTCTGTTTCTTGTTTAAAACACCTTTAACGGATTGCTATAAATTAATTAAAAACAGTCTCTGATTTCTTAGAAAATAGTGATAAAAAGTATTTAGGGAACAAGGATTCAGTTGCAAAAGCATTATATTTTTCAACATTGATAGGCAAAATATTTAAACTTTTCCCCGCACGAACTCAGGGAAAAAATACTTGAAAATCAGGGAAAATCAGGGAAAACTCAGGGAAAATGGTTTTTCAAAACTGCCATGAACCCTGAAAAAGAACCAACCAAATTCTCGAAAGTATGCTCTGCTCACTTTAATTCAGGTATGAAATTGATAGAATTTTGTCATATTATGTTACTTGTAAAGATCTATATATGTAAAATGTATATGTTTTTAATATTTACGCTATATTTATTATTTATAGGTAAACCAGCTGCATTATATTACGTCACCAACCCAAATTTGGTTCCTAGTTTATTGTTGTCTGCATCAGAAAGGCAACCACAAGATAAAGAGACAGGCATCTCCACTCTCCCCAACACTTCAAAAATTTCAAGGTACGTGCTTATTTTGTTAAAGATATTCATTATTATTATTTCTAACTTATAAGATTTGATGTATATCTAAATATTAATAGCCAAATGAATATTATTAGTGCGCATAGTTACGCATTGTTACGCCTATTGTTTGTTTTGTTAATTACGGTTCTGCGTTATGTAAAATACACTATTTCTTAGTTTTTAAGTTGTTTCTAGACTTTTCTAAGCGCAGTTATATATTCCACGCAGTCTTTCGAGTAAAATCAGCAAGCAAATTGGAGCTGAAACACTTATTTTCAAGAAGAATTGATGTTGTTTATTTTTTAAAATAAAAATTTAAATAATTGTTAGTTTGTTATGTATATATATATGTATATCTATATGTATTTTCTTTTAGCAGAAATAGTTGAGAATAGAAAAGCAAAAAAAATTTCTTCTGGAATTTGTCAAAAGGGTGCTGTGTTATGCTTCATTTTAAGGTATCTAAATATGTATTTATTTTTCATTTTTTAGAATAATTTAGAACTAAATTGATTGGTAAAATAGTTTTTTTAGTACAATGTTTCTTTTTTAAGAAAACTGTTTCAGTTTGGTCGTTAGTCTTTTTAAAACATTTTAGGCAGTATTTGTTTTATTTTTTAGAGCAGTTAAGAGGAGCTGATCGCTTTTTTTAGTAAGTTCAAGTTATTTTCTCATACATAAATTAAGATTTTCGATTTATTTCAGTCTGTTTTATATTTCTCTATATCTGTATATATATTTTCTCTAAGGATAAATACTAAGGAATAGAAAGTTGAGAAAATTTCTTCTGCAATTTGTCAAAAGAGTGTTGTTCTATGCTTCATTTTAAGGTATCTAAATATTTATTTATTAGAAATTTTTAATTTTGTTCTTAAATGGTTTCTTCTTTTTCATTGCTTTAGATTAGTATATACTGACTGATATAACTTCATTTTTATTAACAATATTGTGCATTGTATCTGCATTCTTTGTTACATTAAAAATAATTGATGCTAATAAATATTGTTTTATAGTTGTTAAAAGTTTGCATATATGTTTAAATTACGCTCGAAGTTAAAAAAGTTTTTGATAAATATGTGTATTTGGTGATATATGTTATATAGTTGTTTATATAAATGTGTTTTTATAATGGTATGAAATGTATTTTATCTAATTTGTATATGATTGTTAAATGAGGTGATATATGTTATATAGTTGTTTATTTAAATGTGTTTTTATAATAGTATGAAATGTGTTTTATCTAATGTGTATATGATTGTTAAATGAGGTATTTTTATATGTTTATAACATTAAAAAAATATATTGTGTTTTATAGTTAGTATATATGTTTATATAATGTTGCTTCCATGATTTCAAAGTGGTGTGACTTGGCAAACGTGTAGAGATATATTTTTCATTTTTACCTGTCAAGCAGTGCTTTTGGTCTAAGTGTTGCTTAGCCTTTAATATAACTATTCTGAAAACACATTGCATTATCTTTAATAATTTTTTGCGTAATGTTGTTACCTTTAGCTTATTTTTACGTCGGTGTCAGCTGTTAAAAATGATTAATAGGTAGTTTCATTACTAGAACTCACTGCTTTTATTTATTTACTAAAATTTATTCAAGACCATTTCGCTTAAATACATTTTGTTTATCATGAAAAAACAATATTTAGCAACTACTACTCAGGTATCAAAACAGCTGATCTCTATCAGGTACATTGATTTTCAATTCATATATGTTTTTCTTTATATTTACTTATTTGTTACAATTTTAAATTTCAGATTTATAGTGGTTTTATTTGCTATAGAAGAACAAATCATTTTGAATTTTTTAAAAATATATATCTACTCCAGTCAACATTCAAAGTTGAATGTTACATATACCATTTTTAAGGAGCTTCTAGGCTTTTTTGATGCTTTTCTTATTTAAGTGGTTTTATAAGCAAGGTCTGCAAGCAAATTTGAGCTGAAAAGTTTTTCAGCTTTCAAAGAGAATTAATGTTGTTCTCTGTTTAATTTAATTTGTTTAAATAGAGTAGTTTTAATAAAAAAAATGTTTGTTTGTTCTTGGTTTTTTACTTATTTGTTTTCAGATTCTTAAGAACTAGGCAACTTAGCAAAGCAAGATTTATTTTATTTTTTAGTGCAATTGGAAAGAGCTAAAGTGCTTTTTAGTCACTTCAAATCATTTGTTTCTTTTTTTAAATAGAAGGGTTAATAATAAAAAATTTTAGACAGTCGAACTGTTACTGATTTGAGTTTAATGTTTTGTTTTATTTTATATTAGATATATATTTTATGTATTTAACATGGAAAACTGACTGTAATTTTTGACAGGTAAGTTTATATACATTAATGTGCCTATATATCAGAATATTTTATATTTCTCTGAATCTATATAAATATTATCTCATAGAAAAAATTAAAAGGAATAGAAAGAATTTGAATATATATACATATATATTATTTTAGATTAACATTGCTTCATTTTTTATACAAGATTCTGCATTTATTATTTTTGTGCATTAAGATTGTGCCTGAAGGTAAAAATAACTTTCCATTGTAGTCTAAATTCTT